TCACCGGTTGTTGGGCGAGCATTTTATGTGTAAAACGGTGTCGAGATGGTTTGACGTCGGACGTGATCTTGAGAGATTCCTCAATGGAACCGGGAACTTTGCCTTGAAATATATATTTTTCGTCTTTTGACAACGAGTGAAACATAGCCGGCGCTTGGCGAAAGTTTTTTACTAGGACATCAATGGGTGTGTGAGCGAGCCAATCAGACAATAGAAATGTTGAATCTTCCGAAAAGTTACCATCATCGAAAACGAGCAGAAATTCACAACCGTGTTCACCAAGTCCTTGAATGGAATGTGGGCGTCCACTTGGAAAATACCAAAGATCACCTTTTCCAATGTCATCCGTGTACGATCCACCTTCAAGATCAAGCACGGTTACGCGTGCTTCCCCATCAAGCATGTACGCCCATTCGGCTTCTTTGTGCCAATGAAGTTCACGTATCACACCCGCTTTCAATCGCATGTTAACACCTGCCATGGCCGTTGAACTTGGAAGTTCACGCACGGTCGTCTGTCGAGCCCATCCACCTTCTTCAATACGTATGTGAGAATCAGTAAACGACCATTTCATATTCAGAAGCGTACCAGAGTCCGTCGGAGGTGGACTGACCTGGTCCGGCTCTTGGAGCTCGCGAGGAATATTTCTTGGGCCGAGAAAATCTGCTCCGGTCTTGTGGTCTTCATCTTGTACACGTTTTGGAATTACTCCTGCTTCTTCCTTGCTCATGATAACCTATAATAAAATCTGTTTGGCAAATAAAAGTATAAGCCAAATTAACGCGAAATGTGTGACTTGATCAGAATAAATAAGCGATATTTTGTGCAGTCGATGTGAACTCATTCGATAGAGAATCTAAGGCTCTGCGGTATCCTAACTTTGAATAAAGCATTTTCTCCCCTCTAAAAGCGTACTGGTGCCATTTAGAAATAATTACGATATTTTGTCCTGCGCAAGAAGAAACATGTTCCCTCAGAATTCAAATACCATGTGTTATAGAAACAAATTCTGTATCGAATATGCTTATCTCAAACGTTTTATGACCAGAAAATACAAGTTGTGCAAAAGTACCTCATTTATTCTGGCTCACTAGCTACTTAGTCGAATAGAGGAATAATTATGCGTCGATAATTACAGTCGAAAGAAAAAATAAACATCGGTAAGGATAAATGACGGCGCTTCGATTTTTGTACTTTTCTTTTACGCTCCTAATACCTGCATTCGCAATGAAAGAAGAAAAGGAAGAGAAAAAAGCTGACACATGAGTTATATTCAGCGACAAAAAAAATGTTTAACGTACATGTGGAAGCAGGAATATCGGTGATGACATGCACTAGTTAGTTGGGTTCTTTCTTTCTTTCTTTATTTTGGTAACATATTATGGTACATAAAAAAAGTTCAAACATAAGAATGACTCGTAATAGAAAAAATAAACGTGTAATTCAGAGTTTCTGTCTATCATGACCAATAACTAAAAATAGCAAAAATGGATCGAGGGAAATGGTTTTCACACTAATTTATGAGGCAAGATGAGTGTATTACATATAAGTTATACTTTACGCTGTCACACTATTGTACCTCCGCTAACTTACATTCATCTTGCTGATGAAAAACGAAGATTTGAAAACAGAGAACGACTAAAGTTGTTCTTTTAAAGCCTTTTAGAAGGTTCTGAGAGAATTGATGCAAACGACTTTTTCTAGGTCTTTAGCATTTTAGTCTTTTGCAGTCCTCCAAAAGAAGGATGATTGGACAGTTTCAAAAGAAGTGAAGGGTATGTAACCGTATAAGAATGCGCTGCTCGCAGAGACCTAGAAGTCAATTTAGCAAGATAATCCTGAGATTCGACAAGAGTTAGGTTATTGTAAATTTTGTAAAATGATATGAGTCGAAAGTACTGGCGTTTGACACTGAGATCGGACAAACCTAGTTTATGGACTAGAGACAGACTATCAGTTTCGTAACTGAAGTTTCTGGTAATAATGCGACTTGCTAAACATTGAACCGCTTCTGATGGTTCAAGATGTGTGGTGAATCTAAAGAACGTAAGGAACGTAAAGAACACTAGAGTAATCGATTTTGGGTAAAATGCAGGTAAGATATAAAACTGAGCGAATTGACTGAGGTGCTTCTCCGAAAACTCGATTAATAACACCAAGCATTTTTCGACAAGATGTTGCTACTTCGCGAATATGTGTTGCCCATTTCATATCATGAGAAAGACGTATACCCAAAAGTTTAGGATCGGTATCGAGCAAGAGCTTCGAGTTTAATAGCGTTAACTTGAAATCGGGCTTTATTTTAGGATCAAGTGAAAAATAAGTGTATGACCATTTGTCAACGTTTAGTGACATATGATTTTTTTCACACCAGTCTGTTACCCTGTCTATTTAAGCTTGAACTAAATTTTGAATAACAGAAGTGTTTTCTGATTTTTTGAACGACAAAACCACAAATAGGTCATCAGCAAAAAAAATATGTATCACAGACGACGAAATTGGCACGGGAAAGTCGTTTAGAAATAAAATAAAAAGTAAAGGACCGAGGATGAACCCTTCTGGCACCTCCGAGAGAATCGGCGACTGAGAAGAAAAGCTCTCGCCAATTTAGACAAACTGAGTGCGCCCTGTAAGATAAGATGTAAACCAGTTAAGAAGACTGCTATCGATACCAAGTAGTCTTAACTTATTTAGTAGAAGGTCAGTCGATACATGATCGAACGCTTTTGACAGATAAAACTTAACCCTATGCAATGCTGTTTTTCAGTACTGACCTTATTTAAGCTGCTCAAAAGAAACTGAGTACCTCTTAGTAAAACATCTAACGTTGAAAAAGACGGTCTAAACCCAAACTGGATAGCGCTTAACAACCTATTGTCAATTTTCCTTCTGATCTATAGTTAAAACGCGTAGAAAAACAAACTATCTTTTGCACACTAAATACAGGAAAAAGCGGAATCAGAGTAATAAACTTTTTCCAGTTACAACTACTGTAGGAATCGTTTAGATCTTCTAATACATTATTTGGTATTTCATCGAAAGTCTGTTCAAATCCTTCTTCCAATATGAGACTGTCATTGTCAATTGTTTGAAAATCTTCGTTGGTTGGAAGAGAAAGCTCTGGATGCTGTGAATCAGAAAGGCTGACAGTCTGAAACTGTAAATTCTCCTTTGCCTTTATTGGCATTGACAAATCTGCTTTTGAATGGTGTTTTGCTTTCTTTTTCTCGCAGTTTTCGGACAACATACTATAGCCAGCGTCACGCACGTTATTATTTCAGATGTAATTCATCTAAAAAACATCAAAAGAAGAAAAACATTTATGTTAGCAGTAGAGAAGCATCCTAGTGTAAACCAGTATTTCTAGCAGGAATTATTCGCAGAATGCACTAGTGCACTTCGCTAAGAGGATTTTTTCATTTTAGGAGTGCATTTCAAAAAAACAGCGTGCATGTTCACTTTCTCCCGCTTGCGACCCTTCTCATCAGAACCTTATGTAAACACTCAGGCAATTGCTAAAAATAAAGACAAAAAAGTAAAGACGAGAGTCAGAGTGGTATCCCTAGTATCAATATATAAAGCAACGTAGAATATGAACAGCGCAGACATGGGAGATACGAACTGAAAATGAATAAACGTTTGCTTTCTCAAACAAACACACACGAATTTGAACTTTCTTATCAGTGACAAGGGGTTTCATTTCGTTCAATGTAAAATCTGCTTTGCAATGGCTCTGTTCATCGTCTGTCAACTCTGTAAGGGCTTGTTTACAAACAAGCAAATTGAATAATTATCTCTTGGGCTTCTCTTTCTGTAGTCTTAGACGTACGGCCAAGGGATGCTGTTGCTACGGATTCCGTCGATTTCTTGCGGTCGTTTTTCCTTGCCTTAAATACACAGACAGAACATTTTTGTGTTGCTTGCGGGAACAGAGATTTCTGGGACAGTTCAGTTCAATAAAATTGTATTTGCACAGATCCGCATAGATCCCAGAGCCGTCTTTTCCCCCTTGATACTGGGTCATACAAATTCGTGTATGTGTAGTGGAGTGTCGATGGTTCGACCCACTTAATGTTGGAATTTCAAAACGCGGATCGCAGATTCGGAATCTATGCATAAAACCACTGCGGATTCAAACTAATTTGATCTTTGAAAGTCCTTTATGGTGGACATCCAACATGTCAGTTTTTTACGGCCATACAAGGCTTGTAAAAAATTTTCATCCTCACGACACTATGAAGTAAGTGCCGTTCGTTTTTTCCTAGATTAATTTTTAACGTGACTTCTAAATCCGTTGTCGGATTTCAATTTGGACGTTGTGTGTAAGAGTTATGGGACTTTTTTGATTATTCGTATGCACGCATACACGTTTTTTGCTCATCTGACATATTTAAGAGTGGAATTTTGAAAAATCGACGGCAGATTCGGAATCCACGTATAGTACTACCTTATATTTGAATGAAGTTGATCTCGTAAAACTGTTATGGCAGTAATCATCCCTGGCATAAATTCCGTCCTCTTCATTTTTATTTCATTGTCATGCTATCACTCACACAAAGCTTGATTTTGTTTTTGTTTAATTGTTGTTGACGGTAGTGTTCATCACGTTTAGTTTATAAATACGTTTTTGTTCACTGTAATTCTTTTGTAGAAAGGTTTTTAATTTTAAATAAAGAAAATGCCCTTCTAACGTGAGAAGCCTCTACGTGGTGGAAGGGAGACAACGTATATTCTGATGGTTGCTCCTCTTAGTCTTCAGGGTGGACGACGAACTGTCTCACACACAGATCAATTTTTTGAATTATGAACTCTTTACTCCGAAATCATGTGTTTTGGGGCAAAAAAACTTCTGTTTTTGCACACTATTTTAAAACTCATATAACTCAAGAACCAAACACACTGGAAATCTGAAAGTTTTAGGCTGGTCAGCAGTCATTTCGGACTTACAGCGCTGAAAATATCAAGTGTCTACGGCTTTTTTGACTGAGTTGTAAGATTTTCAATTTTTGGCTATTTTGGCTAGGAAAAATAGGAAATTGCCCTTAACTTTTTAAGGAAGAGGCCTCCGCCCAAACCCTTTTAGACTTTTCACCAACTCGATGTCCTCTCTCCAACAATATATAAACGAAGGACGTCGGAGCGTGACAGCTGGAAAGGTTCACTCATCAGGGGGAAGCCTTAATACTGTCCACAGTAAAAACTTTAATTGACAAAAAATGCAAGTGCGACACCCAAAAATGTTTTTAATTCGTTATATCCGGATAAAAATGAAGGTCACTAACATTTCCGCATCATGGGAAACCGAAGCAGTCCGTGCCGTGATCTGAGTATGTACATCTTCATGCCTGATGTTTCTTATGATTTATGTAAATGATGTTGCTTTCTCCCCTAGTTAAATGTTTTCATCCGTCAGAAATGCCAACACAAGCACAAGTGAATGAATATTTGAATAATGTTTATCGTACTAATAGATATCAAAAAAGAAAATGTGAAGCGCGACAGCATTAGAAGAACAAAAAAGGAATAAACAACTACAAATTCAGTTAGCTGAACCATTACGTGTATACATCGCAAACAATCAAATATTCGAGTATGGACACGTGGGTTATGCCGTAAAGAAAACATGTGTTATTATTCCAAATGAAGAAATTAAACTCTATACAAACAAAAGGTCCCAAATTGTATCATATGATTTATTAATTAATTTAGAAAAAGTCTGAGAAAGGTCTA